CCTGGCGTGATACTAGTCACGTGACCTCGCTTACGCAACATTATGTTGATAACCTTGAAAAGTTTTGGTCCCAGTGAAGAGAGCATTACTATAAGAATATAGATAAGGTTAGAAACAGTAATGATGAATACGCAAAACAAGCCTTAGCCATTAATCCAGCCAAAGAAAAGCCTGCCACCCTGGATATATGACAGAAAAACTAAAGCAAAGATATCAGTACCAAAAAAAACCAGAAAATATCGAGAGGTAGCTCTAAGAAAAGCCACCAGAAGGATAAGCTTAGAGCCAAGTCACTTTCAAGGTTTATTGTTTGTTTGTTTTTAATTATGCACAAAGCTACACAAGGGCTATCTATGCTCTGCCCACCACGGGTATCGAAACCCGGTTTCTAGCGTTGTAAGCCCGCAGACATACCGCTGTGTCACTGGGGGGCTTCAAGGTTTATAGTACTAAAAAATAAAAGCTATGAGAAAAGTGTAAACGATTTTCGAATAAAAAGGAAGTAGGAATGGGAGCACCAAAAAAGTAAGGAAACAAGGTAGGAATGGGCAGGAAACACTTCAACACTCGGTGGTTTTTGACATGGCGCAGCCTCAAAGTGGGCGTGGTCATCATTTCACCCATTCCTACCTTGAGTTTTACTTTTAACTTTTATCCAATTATAGACTTGAATTGAATTTTATCAATAGCTAATCTTTTCTAAATACTCAACAAGTTTTAAAATTTCAAAAATCAGCAGTTTGATATTATTTTTTTGGCACACCCCTTACCAGTTAGATGGCTATAATGTCTCCTATGAGCAAAGTATGACAATTGGAGCTTCCTATCTCACTTTCAACATCAAACACCTCCCAGCTCGTTAGGGGCATGTAATTTGATTACATACATACATCTGTAGTTGGTTACTGAAACAAAGTTAAAAATAGAGAACTTTAGCTATATACACTTTTCATTTAGTTTGAACAATAACCAAGTTTCAAAAAGCACACGAAGTAGGTGTGGGACGAATAATAGCTTCACCCACTTTGAGGTTGTAATGTTACCCATCCATCCCTACCTTGTTTCCTTCCTTTTTGATGCTCCCATTCCTACTTCCCAATATTTTTATTTAATTTTTTTTACACTTGTATAACGAAGTTCCGTGAAGCATAAAATTAGTTGAAACACAAAAAGAGTTTTTGTCTCAAGAAGATTGTAGACTGAATCTCTGTTGGCTACTGCACTATTCTATACAACTAGTGAATTGATTGTATAAGACTTAATACTGTAGTTAAACTTAAGTTAAAGAGATTTAATGTAGGAGGATCCGAAACAGGCTCTGGTTGTTGCCATTCCAACTCTGAAAAGCTAATAAAATGCAAGCTGTATTTGGGCATTGACCTAGGGAAACAGTAGTCAGTAGGTTACTTTGTGTCTGTGCGAGTTTATGATAACACTAACAGAGGGACTACTGAAATAAAGGGATTTGAAAATAATAAAGATCTCAACCAAGTTAGACCTTTTCAAATGTCGATCCTAAATCACTTCCAGGTTGTGGGTTCATATCTCAATGATGAAGCTAAAATTCAGTACATGAGCATGACATTACTGTATGGAAAGAAAGGGATTAGAGAGCATGCTATTCAGTTTTTCAGATAGCCCCCACTTCTGAAAGTTGAGAAATGTTGGTTAAATTTAATATTCTTTGTTCTGGAGAAATTCTTTTTCCACAAAACAATATATAGTTAAAAACAACTAACTAAAAACTAGAATTTTTATATGACACCTAAATGTTATTTGCAGCTGTTTTTTTTTTCTATCATAATTATTTATATTGATGCCAACCATACAAGCGTTTTTTTAAAATATATTTTGCAATGTTTGGTGACTGTACAGGTAATCATCAACAAGGCAATTAATGACAATGATTATCATAAAAAACATTTTTCTACAAACCCCTAACATGGTGTGGTACATGCAGTACAAAAATGTTTCTAACACGTCAAAAAATATTTAGCAGTTATTACTGGTATTGGCGAATTGTATAATCGTTGAAACACTAAGTATTAACTGCATATTTAAATTTTAAATCAACTACATTATTAGAAATATTATCTTATTTTGGTGCCCCATGTATCAGTGTTGTGTAGAACAATGATTTCTTTACAATTTGAAACATGCATATGCTCTGATGGTGAACTGCACAGTTACTGAAACATTGGTAAATAAATAATATAGATACTTAAATGGTTCGTGTCAATATCGATAATTGTTATAGAATTTACAACACCCAACCGATCAATCTTCATAAGTACATTGAGACAAATTTCGTTTGTAACACTTTTTTGTTTGTTTAGTCATTTATACAAACTTGTTTCTTTTTTGAAAATAAGGCATATTTTATTTTTTATACTTTAGAAAACAATATTTTTTATTTCATAGTAACTTTTGCAAAGATAATTTTTCAAATTGATGTAGATTTCTAGACCTTTGAATTTTGATTTAATGATTGTTGGTAAACATTGTCTCAAGATTTCAGTTTTATACTTCAAATTAACAAACATTACATGTGTATAAATACTTAAAAGCAATTTTTATTTCTATCAAAAGTATGCAAACATCAAACAAAAATGGGATTGTGGGAAAATTATGTTATGTAACTGGAAGAGCAGACAACAGATACTTGTATACATGCAATACATTAAAGTTTATAAAAACTTCACAAATTTCAGTTACCACTGAAATCTATTCTAAGCTAAATTAAAAAATAACCACTTCTCTGGAAGTAGTTCATTATAAATACACAAGTACAAATGTATATACCATTAGCATAAAAAAAACACTTAATACTATAAGATTATTTACAATTTTGTTAATCATGTATAGGTGCAAGATTGCCACACACACACAAAAACAGAGCTGAAATACTGTTTTCACTTGCCTCTAATTCAAACAGTTAATTTGGAAGAGTTTAATGATTCATGCCTTTTTTTAACATGCAACTAATTATACCACAAATCAATATATTCCCGATTCTTTATCCATAAGGTATTCATTGAATGTTATGTATAATATTAAAAGTACTTTATTTTCGTACTTTTGTAAAGCAAGTTACATTTACTTATAAAAAGTTTAATATTCTACAAATACATATTTAAAATAAAAGTTTATCTAAAAATATAGGTTCAGTTCATACTAACTTTTAAATTTTGCTTTTTTGAGTTTTGTTTTTACTGATTTGTTCTCAACTTTTTGTCTTGCTGATAACTAGGCAAGTACTTTAAAAGTTCTTATGCTTTTAAGTACTGGAATACACTGCATTTGTCACCTAGTATTAGAAAAATTATAAAGACATACAGGATTTTTCCTTGTTATATTCCTAAGTTTACTGCATTCCTAAAATAATTAATAGTCCTATTATTATTAACACCAATAAATATTATACATAAGCTGAGGCCTAATATTAACAAAGTAAATTCTGCTTTTACATTACTATTGATTTTAAAACCATCATCATCATCCTATAGTCATTGCCGAGTGGATTTTTACTTTTTAAACTCGGTAGGTAGCTTGCTCTGACCTGAAGTTAATATTATTATATTCAGTACTGTCTAAGATTCAAAATAGTATCCTGAAAGTAACAATCAAATGTTCATTTAATCTGTTGGTTATAGTTATGTAATTAGTATAAGTAAGTTTTGATTTATTTAGGAGTGTCTGAATATAAATAACTAAACAATACCAATTTCTTGTTCATAGAAGTTTCAGTTATTCATTATTTATTTCCTTTACAATCAGAATTATATTTGTATAAAAAAATCCTAGCTTTCCATATTTACAGATTAAAAAACAGTTGGTACTGTATGGTAAAAAAAATCCATTTGTTAGTAGAAAAAAAAGGCATCTATATCCCTTGAACATGCACATGTAAAACTATGAGAGGAAACCTGTACACATACACACATGTAATAAAGCATACCTCATTTATGAAAAAATAATAAGAAGCAGAAAATATTTAAAATTTCAAGCAATGATTATAAATTTTAATAAAATCACTAAAAACAATCAAGTAGCTAAAATAGCAATAGCTCCAGCAGCAGTTATATACATAATAACCCCTTCATAAGGTTTCAAGTACTGTCACTTGGTTACAGCTAACATTATGGATGTATTTATTATTTTCTATGTACAAGGTAGTTTCAACTAAATTTATATGTCACCATAACTTATAATAGCTCAAAGGTGATTCTGTATAGAAACAAATTGTGCTAATTAAAGGTTAAGAACAAACTACTATATTTTTCAGCACCAAGGTGGTTTTCATCACAAACTCAGCTACTAAAGCTCTTCACAACTTTCTATCTTTAACCTTCCCAAATGAAAACTTTAAGGAAAAATAATCTGGCAAAATAAATTCTCTTTGGTCTTAAACAATAGTGAAGCACACATTTAAAATAATGCTCACATGATAAACCATCTAGTTTGTCAGTTGCTTTTGCAAATAATGGCAAACAATTTTGACATGCAGAAACACACAAGCATTTTTCAAAAAGAAACAAAAATAAAAAATATTTACTACCAAAATACAAATAAGATACTGTAAGTAATTTTAAATGTGAGCTTTAATCAGGGCCCATAACAAAAGTGTAAAATATTTTCAATATTTAGATTAACTTCAATGCCTACTTTCAACTAGCTAGTAAGTGAAAACCAGAATTGTAAGAGTTTTATTATCATGTAAGAAATGAATTTAAAGGATAATACTGGTTTTAATTTTGTTTTATGAAAGATGTTCATATAAAAGAGAACTACAAACCTTCAAAAAAATCTCTTCAAACAAGTACAAAAAACAAACTTAAATCAAAGCTGTCATCAGGACTACAGAGGAATTATGGTAAACATTTACAAAACAGTAGTAAGGGATTCAATCAAGTTTTCCAGCAATAGATATGCAAGTTTATATTTTGAAAATGTCAAACAATTTCATGATATGTTTTATCATAGATTTCATAGTATTTTTTTTAATTAAAAATCTTCTTCACACTCTATCTGTCTTAAGTCCACAACAAAGCATAAATCAGATTCAGGCATTTATAATCACCATTCCACCTAAGGACTCTAGACTTATGCAATACATAATGTTCACCCAACTCCAGCTACATGCTGTCAACAGACAAAGATATTCCACCCAAAACCTTCAAGCAGATTTCAGTATAATAAGATTTGTGTTATCTAAAATTTCCTTGATACAATAATATTTTGAGAATATATATACACATTATAATAAAATAGCTATATGGTAGTTTTACAATATGCAACACTTTCTAGATTTTAAGAAAAATATATAGAAACAATCATAAATATAAACATATATGCAAGTACATTAGTCAAAAAATGTATTATAATGTAAGTGACTAAAATCCATAAAATCAGACAAGATCAAAGAAATCAACTACTATAAATATACAAGACACTATTTTGGACCCATCTTTTTAAAAGCCACACTGGCTGCAATATAGCATTGTATTCTACAATCTATATACACAACATTTAACCACTTTAAAACTTATTTTTTGTTTTTTTATAAAATTTTGATCAATGTTAATGCTCACAAACTAAGTGATCGTCTAGTGATTGATAAGAGTGAAATAAGCTTTTTAAGTAACTGAGTATACTTTTATAGGTGCTTTTTTAACTTTTTAAAATATAATTATAAATTGCCAAGTATTAATTTTAGAATTAATTGTATTTGACACCACCACATATATATATCACTGGCATGAACATAACCTTGCTTGCCTTTTAAAAGTCTCTTTGCTAACACTACATATTTTTCAAGGTGGACAGTGAACATGTATAATTTGCAAGGACCCGATACAAAATTTTAATTTTCTACTATAATACTAATTTTCTGTGAAATAACTAGAAAGAATAATGCATCTTAAGATATGCATGCCAAGCCTTGTGGCTCAGTTATAATCTTGAAGACTTATAATGCTAAAAGTCAGGCTTTAGATACCCAAAGTGGGCACAGCATAGATAGGCCAATTGTGTAATGTCCACTTAAAACACTCAAAAGAAAAAATAAGTAAATTCACTACAACCATAATATTCAACTTGTTGTTCCAGACTTTGAATTCATAAAAATATTCCCAAAGTTCTTGATAAGATTGTTTTTACTCAGAAAAATACACCGGAACCTAATCACTATATACTACAGATATAAAATGTCACAATATCAATATACAAGTTTTAAAACTATTTGACTTCAAATGATCTAAACCTCTGTAAAGATGAAGTGACAAACTATCATTAACCTTAATGGAAAACTAGATCCACGTGTGTGTACATAATAAGTTTTGTGATGCTAGTTACATAACTACTGGAACATAAAACTGACTAAAGTTACAGTTATTTGGCAAGATTCAAAGTTATAGCCAGTAAAAGTTGCTTTACACTAAATGTTTTGATACTAGAATTATATATAAATTTCTTCCTTTTATTAAATGCCTTTTAATTATTATTGCCACATTAAGCAAAACTTTGAAGAGAGAAAAACCTCCAAAGAAAAAAAACAAAACATGTGGATGTATCTACCATTAAACTAAGAACTGCTGTTAGAACCCAGCAGAGCACAAAATATTTTTGTTTGCTTACAAGTTAATTAGCATAAGGGTAAGTTAAACTTTGGAAAATCTCAAGTAGAAAGGAAGTGTTTAAAATTCTAACATATAACAATAACTTGTGGTAGCTAAGAAAAGTCGAGTAGCACTACATCAAGTTAAGGTTTACACCGACTAATTCTTCCCTTTTTTGGAGAACATTTTTCACATTTACAAAAAAGTATATATTTTTCTGGAAAAAAAACAACAAAGTATGCCTGATGTCAATAATCTTCTTAGTACAGACAGTTTGGGTGAGAGATAAAAGTCCACACAGATTATAGAAAATGTGAAATAAAAATAACGAATCTTTGAAATCCAGGAAGTAAAAAGTACTGTAGATATTTTTGTTTTTACAGATGGTACGTTTTGATCCTGTTGTTTGATGAATGAACCCTCCTCATCATAAAATGTTCCACACAACCATGTCTTACATGCAGTACAACGTTTTTAAACTGAAGGCACAAAATAATTTTCACTTGCACTGGTCAAATTCTCTTTACTATTAGTTTAATAATGTAATCTCTTTAAGGAAAAATATGTAAGTTGAAATATTAGATAAAACATATGCAACAGAAAAGAAATAAATACAATAGCAGAGGGTAACTATTTAAACATTACAGAGAAAAGCTGCCTAGAGGGTACCACCTAACATTTTCCTTTAACAGGTTTAGTTCTTTAAGGGGAATCAAGGTTGACCCTAGAAACTCGTTTTCTTGGACTCTATCAAAATTCCACACAGACAAGTGTAAAGTACGGCTCTTTACTACATCCAGAGGAAGTCCATACACAAGCATTTCCATAAAAGTTGGATGTGTATTCTTCCAAATGACTTTTGTTTTTCTCTTAGTGAGCTTATGTGGATCAGGGATTAAATATGTTTTCACATAAGAATCTGGAGCACTGTTCTTGAGAGACCTCAGATTTTTAGCATGCATCACCATCACAAAGAGACTGTTGTTCTTGTATTCAACAGAGAGTTTTACCTGTCCCTTAATTCGACCTCCTGACTCTCTTCGCCGAGTCACAGTATTTGTACCTCTCAATGCAGCATTCTGAGAAGAGCCTTCTTGGTCTCTTAGGAGTGGATGGAAGAAAGTATAAACCAATGAACAATGAGCAATTTCATCAGCCATACCCAAGAGCTGTTTCAAAAAATTATCAACTTCTATCATTCTCTGTTCTGCAACTTCTCTAATGTTGGATCGTCCAACAAAAGACCCTCTTGGTAAAGGATGAAACTTTGCTAATGGAAACATCATGCAAAGCTTCTGATGAAATTCCCAGAATTCCCTATAGGTGCGGAAAACAGTCATTGACTGATTGACATTTTCTCGTGTGACCTTGATTTCATAAACATAGTACTTTTCTGGATCATAGCGCTTTTGGTAAGATACCACTTTTAAAAATTTTATACAACCATCAGTCTGTTTAGTGAAGGTCTTAGGACTGAAGGATAACAATAATTCATCATTGTGATCTCCTGTAAAACGTAACTGAGCCAAGTTGTGGATGAAAAAATTAAACTGGGTAAACCAAGACTTTAAACTGTCTTCAATCATACGTGTAAAATGTGCAGTAGCTTCTGCTTCAGAAATGTGGGGTAAAAGTGCTTTCTGCACATAGTGTACTGCACTCTCTGTAACTCCAGGGATATCAGAGGCAGCCATCAATGAGAACAGAGTCAATAAAATACTTCTGTGTTGACGAATAATATTAAAAGCCTGGCAACAAATGTCTATAAAGTTCTGGAACTTCTCAGAGGGTTTGTCACCACCATTGATAACATAGACCATGTCTGAAGTTAGAATAAATGGTGTTCGATCACGTTTTATGTTACCAAATGTCTGTGCATCACCTAGGAACTTTCCAAAATCAATATGAAACATATGACCTGAGGTTTTTAACATAATATTATCATTGTGCCGATCACATATTCCCAAAATGTATGTAGCTACACAGTATCCAGCACAGGAAAGAGAAAAGTTTTCAACTGCATGTTGATACTCAAGTTCAGATGCATTGTGTTTTTGAAGCCATTCTGCTATAGGACGATCTTTAAATGAACCTGTCAGGCCATGTTCAGTTTGAATTTTTCTCAATGTTTCTGCTTCAGTCACCATCTCTACAATGCCTTTTTTTACTTCTGTAGGTATGCATGTAAAAGTGATAATTTTTAAATCCAGGCCTTCCTTCAGCCACAGTTTGTCCATGATTCTTATCATCTGAAGAGTTAGCATATCCTGACGCAGGTCATCTCCAACTTTGTAGATAGTTTCTATTGGTTTTGTCCCTTCCTCAGAACTTTTAAATATTAGCTTGAGTGGAAGTGTATTAGAGGTGAAATAGCTACAACATTTTATGTCCACTCCGTGAACTTCAAGACTAGGGCTCAGAGGAAGGACTGTGGGGTCTTTTTGAAGATTATGATGAATAGATTCTAATCCTTGAAGCAAGGTGGACAAACGAAGAGAATCTTTAGTATTCTTAATTCGATCAGCTATATCTGACAAGCTATTTAGCAGAGATTCTTGATTTTCAATTAACTCTCTCATAGCCTTGCCTGATACAGTGAGAAGAGCATTAAGCATTAAATTCATTCTTCTTCCAGCAAGTGGATCATTAATATTCTGTTTCAGAAGCCAGTACAAGTGATGAGTTACTCTAACACTGGTCAAAGAGCGCTCCAACAGAAACCAAGCTAGAGGAGAACTGTCCCACGTTTCAAAACGTAAGGCTTGTACAAGCTGTGGAAGGTAGTCACACAATTCATCACATCCCACATTTTTAATCCACTGGACAGCTGTATAACGGACTTTATAGTCAGGAAAATGACGCAGTAACAACACAAGAGCATCTATAGGTGGCAAAGGACACCACTCTTGCAACAAGAAATATATATCAGATAAACATGCCCAGTCCCATCCATGAGCTGACTGCAATATCTTTGGGAGTGCTTCAGGAATGCCATACATACAATGGCGATTGGCCCACAATAATTCCTTTTCCTCTTGGGAAATACCAGTAAGATGATCTTTTTGAACAATCTCTAAAAGTTGTTTCCTAGTAACAAAGTCAAGCTGATCAATGTCCTTTTTGTAGGTTACAGAAATATCTCCTTGAATTACATCAGGGAATACAACTGTACTATCAAATTCAGTAAGACCGATTTGTAAAACTGGACAGCTAGAACTAGGATTGCACACAGCAGGTCCCATTTCTTTCTTCATTTCATCAGACCATAAGCCAAGTAAGTAGTTACCCTGACAAAGTTCTCCTTTAAAATTGAACAAGTTCATTCCACACCAGCCAATAACAATTTTCTCTTTCTGAGTAGCTTCTGTTTGCTTGGATTCTGCAGGAACAGCAGGAACACCAATAAGTGTAAAATATAACTTTGCTTCTCTAGGCAAAGTACAAAGACAGACTGTCTGAAAGTGAAGCCAATCATCAAAAACAATTCTATCAAAAAAGCTTTTTTTCACAGGAATGGGTTTGGAGGTGGTAACAGAAGCTATTTCCTGAGAGCCATGACACAACACACATGAAACAAAAAAATGATCAAAAGTATTTGTCCAATGAGGTAAAACTCTATGAACTGGCCCTACGTGAACAAGAAGTGTGTCTAATATGCTTGTAACATCCATTTTGCTACTTAATTCTTTATCTAAATCAGAAGAAAACTGCAAAGTAAAATCTACTTCATAGGCTTGGCAGTACATCACAAGAAGCTGATATACTGCTTCATACAGTTGATTAATAATCAAATCAAGTCTGAGTAAAGTGTTATCTTTCTGGGTTGATGTTAAATTATCATTAGTATGCTCATTCACACTTTTATCCTGTGAAAATATATTACTTTGGCAGAATTCTGATTTTCCAAATGTTTCACATATTTCTTTCAGGTTCTGAAGAGAATCACTGATCTCTACAGTTTCCACATGGGATAACGTACACAATGCTTTCAATGCTTGGATTACACCTAAAGGTTGTAGCGTATCTTCTTGTTCATTTCTAGCATGTATTTTCAGTTTTTCTACCTCTTTTGTGAGGGTTTCCATTACAATTTTGACTGCCTCAAAGTTAACTGTCAGTGATAATTTGGGTGACATCAGGTCAATAGGTTTTATTTCGAAACTCTCTATATCATCTTGAAGCGTTCTTGCCAGAGGATGCTTTAAGTCTTTCACGTGAATGAGTCGGAGACAAACAGGTTGGTCACATTTTTGACAGTACTGAACATATTCATATTCTCCTAGAGATGAGTCACACGTTAAATATTCAGTAAGACCATGAACCTTTAGGATGAAGTCATCCATGTTTATGTCCTTTAAATCATCAAAAGTACTGCATACGACATGACTGATAATATGTTCAATACTTGTTCCCATGTCACAGGTAAAAGTGATAGGTCTAACACTATATTCAGAACTAATTTCTATTTTAATACTGTACGAATTGTACTGTTTATTTTCTAATGTTGCACTTATCACTAGGCCTTCATTTGTGTTATGATCATCACTTGGAAATTCTGATCTCAGTTGTTTCAGTTCATCACAAAAATGATTTAGCTCAGTATTACAAACATAGCTTCTCTTTACAATCTTAATATAATTTCCAGCAATGGGTTCCAGAGGATTTTTTATATCTGATTTTTCAACAACTTTGTCACTGGTAACTTCATTAAATTTTAAGGTAGGAAAAAACTTAAGTTTCTCTTCAACATGACACACCTTGCCATCAGTGGAAGACAGAAAGTCAAAATTATCTTTTTCACCATAACCCTCTACCTGATCAGGTAAGTGGAAGTCCATGAAAGCTTGCCTCTCATTTTCTAGAGCAATCTGGAAATCTTTTGGCTTTGTTTGATTATTATTTTCAGCAATTAGAGGATCAAACATACTAAGAATATCATCAACTGCACTTTGACAACTTTTTTGATTAATGGAAGTTTCAAGATCTACACCTAAGAGGTCTATTAAATTACTACTATTTTTTGGTTCTGAAGAAGTTAAAACTGATTCAACACTTATGTGACGAGTTTTACTATTTATGACACAAATACTGTTTCCTTTAGGATAATTTTTATCCAGCTGTATATTAGTAGTTGCAGTCAAAACAGATATGTTGCTGTCTTCAGAATTTCTATAGACATTTGCTAGTTCTGGTGAAGAATTACTGTGTTGTATATTATACAGTGTAAATTGGGGATTAGCACTGAGAGAATACTCTAAGATCTGTGGCGATTGGATACTAGGTCTTTGAGAAAAGAAAGACGACATATTTGACCACATATATTGAGGATTGGTCTGAAACTTTGAAGATATATCAGCAAAATTATCTCTCCTAATAGGTTCTATACATGTGCTTATCTGGTTAGATGAGCACTGTGAAGGTAGATTGTCATCAGATTCTGATTCTAAAAGATCTTTCATAAAAATGTTTTTGTGAGACATGTTTGCTTTTTCTTCATCTGTACCAGAAAAAAATATAAGATCTTCTATGTCTGAAGACTGTTGAGCTTGTGGAGGAGGAGGAGGAGGAACTAACATGAGTTCGTCAACATCAGATGGATAAGTTTTGCCTGATGATGGAGCAAATCGTCTAGGAGGGAGTGGTGGTGGTGAAGCAGCTGGAAAAAAAAAGTACTTTAGCTTTCTGTCATTTCATCTATAACACACACACACATACAAAAGATATAAATATGTACCATGCACTATATCTGATACATAAGATCCAAGCTAAAAAACATTTAAAATAACTCAATTTTCAAAACTTTTCAGTAAAAACCATATTAAAGATCCAGATTTCTTCAAAGTTTCCTTTTAACTGAAAAAAACAACAAAGACAACTATTTTCTATTGTCAAAAGTATTTTTAATTCTTCAAATGCTGAGACAAACTCCAGTCACAGGAAAACAATTCTTTTACCTTCAGAGAAGGTTTTGAATTCTAATATATTTTCCCTGACAGTAGGCATGTAGTTGAATTTTTATTTCATCAAACTGGCAGGTAGTTCTTAAAGTTATAAACTGTATATTATAATCATACATACTAATTTCTAAACACATCCACTGAAAGATGTGAAATAGCTACAAAGATTTTTATATAAAGTACCTGAAATGAAATAATGTATAAAAAGGAATATTTTGCAGACAAATAGCAGGTACTGAGAGAGAGAGAGATAGAGAGTAAATTTTAAAATTTTAGGTCAAATGAAGATAGGTCATACGATAGTTCTACATAGATCTCGGCAATCAGATTGATCAATTGGTAAGTTATCAGCATTGATTACATCTTAGTATCACATAAAGTAACAAATTAATCAAAATTACAATTGACTAATTTCAAAAAAGTTATTATTTTCCTATATTGAAAATATCTTTCTGAAAGATACCCCTTCTCAAAGTGTTTTGTGCAGTGCTGCCCTCTATATGCAAAACATTTCTTGAATGCCACAAACCTTAAACTCTCACATACCTAATGATCAAGATGGTTTAACTGCGTCTCGCATGTAAGTCATCATGTGACAACCCTCCACCAATAGAAGTGCAACACACCCTCCTGATGCATGACTCCCTCTATTCAATTCACCCAAACTATCACTTCAAGAGTAGGCAGAAATGGAAGCACCAGTTTTCAGTGGGGAGGTAGGGTGGAGAGGTTTGGAGGAGGTAAGTACCTATCAGATATATATTTTCAGCATAGGAAAATCATAACTTCCAATATGGTACATTACCTCTTCTGACATGTATAGCTGGAATTCCACACTGAATGGGTGGAGGGATAGAAAGAACTATTTTTTGAAAAAGTCCGAAGAACACCCATGAAATGTAATCCCCAATAGGAGAGGAACATGTGTGGGAGACCGGACCATTTGTGTACCAGGTATACTCTTCACCCAGTGTGTAAATAAGTGTCTCGTACAAGGTCAGAAAGTGGGAGGAGCACAACCAAAAGGGAGAAAAAACTGGATGGGTTCGAATCTGAATCACAATATACTAAAATATCAATCCAGTGAAGAAAGAATGAAGAGAAAACATCTACAGACAGGAAAGTGGGGAAAGCTATAATAGATGTGTTCCAATGTGTAGAGTGGCTAAGGCATGATGGACTGTATGTGACTGGTCAACTCCAGTCCAAAACCAACCGGCATTGGGATTACAACATTGGGAAGTGGGTTGATTCTGTAAAAGATATGCAACCTCACCCTCGGGATGGAACTGCACAGAAGCTGGATGCAGCATCTATCTCCAGGACCCACAACATGGAAGTGGAGCATATGTATTTTTAAATATACACATCATCATCCCCCAGATAGGACCACACAGAAGTTGGAGTGCAACACCAACCTCTGTATCCCTCCACACGGAAGTGGATCACCTCTAGAAAATAAATGCAACATCCCCCTCTGGATAGAACGACACAGAAGTTGGGTGCAACATCCACCTCTGGGACTCACTGCATGGAGGTGGAGCACATGATTGGAGGATCAAAAACACCATCTACACCAGCAGAACACCACCACCTTACTCTCTACTGAATGGAAATGATAACATTCAGGACTCCTCCATGGTCCACCATCACAGGGGTAAGCTATTGTAGCAAACTACTACAGAAAACTAACTGTAGTCAATAAATAAACAGGTAGATTGCTACTTTGCAAAAAATAAATAAATGAACAAGTGAAAAGAGCACAACTGAAATATGTCTTCAGTTGATCATTTCCTAACAATAAGTGATAGTTCAATAGAATCAAATAGAGGTAGTCACATGTTACAAGAGGGTGTGTCACACTACTATTGGTGGAGGTTTGTTGCATGGAGATTTACATGCGAGATACAGTTGAACCACATTGATCATGGGGTACGTGGGAGTTCAAGGCTTGTGGCATGAAAATAAATTTCTTTGCATATAGGGAAAACTTAACAAAAATAGCTATACGTGTGAGTGGAGGTAATGTACTGTATTACAGATAATAACTAATCAGGATTAGTTTCTGATTATTACTAATTAATGAGTGAAAATTAATCAATTAGCAAATTCCATTAATCACCTAGCACTAATTCTACATACACTGTTATTTGATAGAAAGTAATTATGAACTAAGTAATTTAGATACAAAATAAATAACTTGCAGTTTATTGCAAAAAACTTGTATAAATTTTTTAATAATAATACAGACTTTAATTTTTTTTAAATAATATTTTTACAACAAATTCTTCAAGTTAACAACTATAATTTACTAGGATAATATTGCAAAAAACTATATTTTTTGTATTGTTTAAAAATGGTTGGAGTTACATGAGTGACGGTTACAAGAAGTAGTTCTTGAAAGATTAATGGTATTAGTTTGATTGATGGAATAATATAAAAAACAGTAATAACCAGAAACACTAATTTATATAATAAATAAAACATGAATGTAATTATATGAAGTATTTATTAAATGTTTTAGAACCTTTAAAATTCCATGTTTAGTAATCTATAGGTACAAAAGAAACAATATGGAAAAATGAATCAATTACAAATTTAGATTAATTGATTAGTTTATATCACAACAGTTAATGTAATTGCTGCTCATAGGTAACCGATTAAATCTCAGAGTTCTTCCACCTTGTCTTCTTGTCAGTGTTCTTACCAGCACTTTATACTTGTGTTTATTTTAACATATTGTTACGTCTCCGTGTGTTAATTAATTTTCCGTAACTTCGTACCGACGAAACTTAAGTGACACAAGTCTTTACTT